GAAATTACCATCCTGAGTGAAGTAAGCCAATCACAAAAGAACACACATGGTATTCACTCACTGATTATTGGATATTACCCCAGAACTTTGAAATGCCCAAGATGCAAATCACAGGCCACATGAAACTCATGAAAAAGGAAGACCAAGTGGGGGTGATTCAGTCCTTCTTAGAAGGTGCAACAAAATACTCAAGGGAGCAAATATGGAGACAAAGTGAGAGACAGAAACTGAAAGAGGGGCTGTCTGAAGACCATTCCCCCTGAGTATCCATCCCATGTGCAGTCACCAAAGGTACATGCTGATGTGGAATTCAGGAACTGCATGCTGATAAGAGCCTGATATGAATGTCTCCTCAGAGGTCTTCAAGAGTCTGACATATTCTGAGGCAGATGTTCACAACTAGCCATTGAACTGATAATAGGGATCCCAATGGAGGAGTTAGAATGAAGACCATTGGAGCTGAAAGGGTTTGCGGCACCATGAGGAGAACAACAATACCAACCAACCACAGCTCCCAGGGTCTAAACCACCAGCCTGGGAGCACTTAGGGAGGGATCCAGGACTTCAGCTGAATATGTAAGAGTGGAGGGCCCTGTTGGGAATAGGTGGAAAAAGAGATTCATGACCTCATGTTCATGTTGAACATTTCTTTAGGTGCTTCTTGGATATGAGATATTTGTCAGTTGAAAATTCTTCGTTGAACTCTGTATCCCATTTTTAGTAAGGTTATTTGATTGTCAAGAGTCTAATTTCATGGGTTCCTTATATATTTTGAATACTAGCCCTCTATCAGATGTAGGATTAGTAAACAATTTTTCCCAATTTGTTGGTTGCCATTCTGTCCTATTGACAGTTTCCTTTGCCTTCTGGAAGTTTTGCAATATTATGAGGTCCCATTTGTCAATACTTGATCTTAGAGCATAAGCCATTGTTGTTCTGTTCAAGAACTTTTCCTATCTGCCCAAGTACTTGAGGCTCTTCCCCACCTTCTCTTCTATTGGTTTCAGTGTATCTGGTTTTATGTGAAGGTCTTTGATCCATTTGGACTTGACCTTTTAACAAAGAGATAAGAATGGATCTGTTTACGTTCTTCTACATGCTGACCTCCAGTTGAACCAGCACCATTTGTTGAAAATGCTATCCTTTTTCCACTGTACAGTTTTAGCTCCTTTGTCAAAGATCAAGTGACCATAGAAACAAGGGTTCATTTCTGGGTCTTCAATTCTATTCCACTGATCTTCCTGCCTGTCTGTGTACCAATACCACGCAGTTTTTATCACCATTGTTTGTAGTAGAGCTTGAGATCCGAGATGATGATTCATCCAGATCTTTTATTGTTAAGAATAGTTTTCCGTATCCTGGGTTTTTTTTTATTCCAAATGTACTTTTAAATTGCTCTTACTAACTCTATTGTGAATTGGGTTAGAATTTTGATGGGGATTGCATTGAAACTGTAGATTGCTTTGTGCAGGATGGCCATTTTTACTATATTAATCCTTCCATTCTATGGGCACAGAGATCTTTCCATCTTCTGAGATCTTCAATTTCTTTTTTCAGGGACTTGAAGTACTTGTCATACAGATATGTCACTTGCTTGGTTAGATTCACACCAATATATTTTATATTATTTGTGACTATTGTGAAGGGTGTCATATCCCTAATTTCTCTCTTTTCCTGTTTATCCTTTGAGTTGAGGAAGGCTACTGATTTGTTTAAGTTAATTTTATATACAACCACTTTGCTGAAGTTTTTTTTTTATAAGGTTTAGGAGTTCTCTGGTAGAATTTTTGGGGTCATGTAAGTATACTATCATATTATCTGCAAATAGTGATATTTTGATTTCTTCCTTTCCAATTCGTATCCCTTTGGACTCTTGTCTAATTGCTCTGGCTAGGACTATATTGAATAGGTAGGGTGAGTATGGGCAGCCTTGTCTAGTCCCTGATTTTTGTGGGATTGCTTCAAGTTTCTCTTGATTTTGTTTGATGTTGGCTACTGACTTGTTCTACATTGCTTTTACTATGCTTTGGTGTGGACCTTGAATTCCTGTTCTTTCCAAGACTTTTACCATGAATGTGTGTTGAATTTTGTCATATGCATTCTCAACATCTAGTGAGATGATCATGTGGTTTTTTTTTCCTTTGAGTTTGTTTATGTAGTGGATTATGTTGATGGATTTCCAAATATTGCACCATCCCTGCATTCCTGGGATAAAGCCTACTTGTTCATGATGGATGACTGTATTGATGTGTTTTTGGATTCAGTTTCCCAGAATTTTATTGAGTATTTTTGAATCGATATTCATAAGGGAGATTGGTCTGAAGTTTTCTTTCTTTATTCTGTCTTTGTGTGGTTTAGGTATAAGTATAATTGTAGCTTCATCGAATGAATTGGGTAGTGTTCCTTCTGTTTCTATTTTGTGGAATAGTTTGAAAAGAATTGGTATTAGGTCTTCTTGGAAGGTCTGATATAATTCTCTTCTAAAATCATCTGGTCCTGTGCTTACTTTTTTTTTTTTGGTAGGGAGACTTTTAATGACTGCTGCTATTTCTTAGGGTTTACAGGACTATTTAGATGGTTTATCCGATCCTGATTTAACATTGGTACCTGGTATCTGTCTAGGAAATTGTCCATTTCATCCAGATTTTCCACTTTTGTTGAATATAGGCCTTTGAGTAGGATCTGAAGAGTTTTTTAATTTCCTCAGTTTCTTTTTTTTATTGGATGTTTTATTTACATTTCATATGTTGTCCCTTTATCAGATTCCCCCCCCACCAGGAACCCCCTATCCCCTCACCCCTCCTCCTTCTTCTCTGTGGATGTAACCCCTACCTACTCCCCCACCCCCACCTCCACACCCTCATAATTCCCATCCCTTATAGATATCTGCTAAATCCGTTTGGTTCATAACTTCTCCTAGTTTCACTGTGTCTCTGTTTGGTTTCTGGTTTTATGATCTGTCCATTCATGAGAGTCAGATGTTGGAGTCTCCCACTATTATTGTGTGAGGTGCAATGTGTGCCTTGAGCTTTAGTAAAGTCTCTTTTATAAATGTGGTTGCCCTTGAATTTGGAGCATAGATATTTAGAATTGAGATTTTATCTTGGCTGATTTTTTCTTTGACAGGTATGAAGTGTGCATCCTTATCTTTCTTGATAATGTTTGGTTGAAAGTGGATTTTGTTTGATATTAGAATGGCTACTCCAGCTTGTTTCTTGGGACCATCTCTTGCAAAATTGTTTTCCAGCCTTATACTCTGAGGAAGCATCTATCTTTGTCACTGAAGTGCTTTTCCTGTATGCAGCAAAATGCTGGGTCCTATTTAAGTATCCAATCTGATAGTCTATGTATTGTTATTGAAGAATTGAATCCATTGATGTTAAGAAACATTATGGAAAAGTGATTGTTGCTTCCTGTTATTTTTATTATTAGAGGTGTAATTATACTTGTGTGGCTATCTTCTTTTGGGTTTGTTGGAAGAAGATCAGTTTCTTTTTTTTTCAAGGTTATAATTTCCATCCTTGTGTTGAAGTTTCCCTCTAGGATTCTTTATAGGGCTACATCTGTGGGAAGATATTGTGTAAATTTGATTTTGTCATGGAATAACTTGGTTTCTTTTTCTATGGTAATTGAGAGTTTTGCTGGGTATAGTAGCCTAGGCTGACATTTGTGTTCTCTTAGGTTCTGTATGATATCTCTCCAGGATCTTCTGGTTTTAGTCTCTGGTGAGAAGTCTGGTGTAATTCTGATAGATCTGCCTTTGTAAGTTACTTGACTTTTTCCCTTACTGCTTTTCATATTCTTTCTTTGTTTTGTGCATCTGCTCATAGTTCTTACATAGTATGTACACAAACTAAGGTTGGTTTTCTAACAACCTTGGGCTGCCTCTCTTTGGTTTCATCATGTGGTAAAACAGAAGGTTCTTGTGTAAATTTCTCTGTATATGTATGATTATTTTTCTTATTTTCATTTATAATTTTTTTACAGCTCATATCTTAACAAACCACTTTTCACATTTGGCATAAAAACCACTATGACTACTAAGGATAAAATATGAATTACCAAATGGATAGTAATTATAATCTCTATTGTGTTAATTTCAATTAAGTCATTTATATTTTAATTTTCTGCTTCTATTTTCAAGCCTTGTAAGGTACCACTAGAAAGGGTCCTAATACCCTTGCATTGTATTTCTTATCCTTAACATGGGAAAGATTTTTCCTTTTAATATTACTTAACTCTCTCATTGAGAACTTCCCAGGTATCTTACCAAATCTAATAGCTTTTCAGTTTGTCTGCAGTTGGTATATTTTTTTCTGTGTGTATGGTTGTACCATGGATTCGAGTGACAAATTATTTAAGCAAAATCTCAGTCATTCAATTTTACCAATGACTCAGCATCCAGGTGCTGGGTTGAAAGCATGCTAGCTCAGAGAGGCAGAGAAAACACCCAGATGACCTTCCTTCTCAGACAATGTCTCAGAATGAATACTATTCTCACCTGCCATTTCAAAAAACTTTCTTCAAAATGAACGTCCCTCCCTTCACTTCATGTGCACCTCTCTATCCATCTACCTGACTCCTCCTTAATCTCTGGGTTTTTTTCCTAACAATCCCATGTTCACTTCTTCTCATCTAGTTGCTTGTTCCTCCTGTTGACCTATGGTTGACTTTATTTAATCTATTTTACAATATTCAATCAGAAAGTATTTGGATTAAAGGTGTGTACTAAGGCTGTGTGCTAAGGATGAGCCACATCAGTACTAAAAGCAGGTTTTTCCAGTAAATAATACAATCGCCAGGTTCACAGTATGATCAAATATCTAGTAACATATATTTGAAATATGTACATATATTTGCATATATAAACATATATACATATATATGTATACACATACACGTACGTGTGTGTGTGTGTGTGTGTGTATTTGTAGTCCAACAAGAATAGTATAGTAGTTGGGAGCTAGAGAGAAAGATTAGTGGCTAAGAGTATTGGCTGACCTGGTCCTAGAATTCTTGCAGGAGTTGCTACTGTGTCACATGTATGGTAGGTAGCAGACAGGAGAAAGGCTAGGTCTAGGCTCAATGTTCTGACCTATGAACATCTGGATGATTAGTGAACTAATACTCCCTGAAAAAAGCAAGCCTGAGAGAAGCACCAGTCTGGTGTCTCACAAGCTCTGATGGTTCCTAGGACCAGGAGCAAGCCAGAAACTAGAAGAACCCCACCTGGAACTGAGGGCCTTGGATAGGAGTGAGCCTGAAATAAATGATTCTTGTATGGGTCCACATGAGTGGGCCATATGAGGAGGGAGCCAAAGATAACCATCAGACTGGCATCATGGGGCCTGGACAAAAAGCTAGCCTGAGATAACCACCAGTTAGGTGCTGTACAGATAAGGGAAGTAGGGAGCAGACCATTCCCACGGTGACCTCTGCCAGATATCATAATGCATAATCAGGGCATCACACTTCTGATACCACTCCTATGATTGGCCCAGACACTCAGGGATCCTCTATGCTTCTAAAAGTAGCCAGTAAATGGTAGAGAAATAGAAGAGAAAGAGAAACAAAAGGATATGGGCATGATGAAAAGAGGCACAACTAGAGACTCAAGGATACTGAAGAACAGCGTGATATGAGTAGCTGGTGAGACCACCTAAGACCTTTGTGAGGTGATGGCCTGTACTGCCACTGGGGGCCATGTCTGAGTCCATTGCCCCGAAGCAGTTACCACCAAAGGAGAGTTGGATGTTACTGGTCTGGGCCGTTGACCAGGAACATGTTGATGTCTGAAGGCTGTGCAGAACTGGCCTCACCCCTCACTTGGGTACTTTGGGATAGCTGGACCTAGGGGCATGAAAGCAGATTTGACCCTGCTCCTAGCCATCTGTAGTATTCAGGAGAGTAGGCCTGCACATTGCAGGAATTGCAAGTGAGTCATCTCCAATCATATGCATAAGGGAGACATGCCCCTACCACTCATCTCCCATGTGGTAGCATGGACAAATGAGAGATGTCCTCCTTCCTTTGTGTACCTCACCACTTATAGCACGCAGAAGACCTGGCCCTAGGTTCATAAGAACAGGAGAGCTGGGTTTGTACCTTACCAGCTGTAGCACTCTGTAGAGGTACGCCCTGCACCTAACTTGGTCTGCACAGTAAAACTGACCCTGATGGTGGGGACACATATAATCAGGACTGAGGGTATGAGCATGGGAGAGGTGGCCCTGTCAATTGTATGCCATGTGGTATCCCAGGCAAGGAAGAGATGATCCCCTATTGCTACCAATGGCAGGCAGAAGATCTGGCCATGAAGTCATCAGAGTAGGAGATTTGGACCTTCCCCTCACCTGGGCAGCATATTAGAGGTGGCCGTGCATGTGGGGGTTGCAAATGAGCCAGCCCTGAAAGGCATAACTGTGGGAGACCTGGAACTGCCTGCTGGGTAGTGGCACAAATGAAGGAGAAAAGCACATCTCCCTTCCCTCAAACCTCACCATCTATGAAAGGCAAAAGAGCTAGCCCAGGGGTCATGAGTGTGGGAGAACTGGCCATGACCCTCACAGGTTGCAACACTTGGAAGAGCTGGTCCTGCACCTCACCTGGGCAGTAAGATAGAGCTGGACCTAGTAGCAGGGGCTGCTGGTAAGCCAGCCCAGAGAGTGGAAGACCTGGAGAGCCAGTAGATTGACCAGATCAAATGACATTCAGGCCTAGATCTAGGCCTTTGAATTGGCCCACCCCAACATCTACCCCAGTGAAGAACTGCTGGAGTGTATGAAGAAACCAGGCCTACAGATCCAAAACTACAGGATCTCCCTGATGCACAGCAATAACAGTATGTCCAAGTGATATCCAAGAGAAGTCTCAATGAGGTTCCAGTATTGATAGAATATCAGAAACAAGAGGCCTCATACAAGATCAAGGGATCTCTGCAATGAACATTTGCAAGCAAAGAAGTGTGGACAAAAGGATATACTGTGGGACACACTGTGACACACTACAGCTTCAACAATAGGGTTTTTTTCTCTATTGCTGGGGGTATGTTGAAAGGAAGAGTGATTGAGTTCAATTTACATGCATGATGTAAAATTTACAAAGAATCAATAAAAAGGTTTAAAAGAAAGACCACTGACTGCCATGATCTGTTGATATCACTGAGAAGCATGCTCTTTTCCAAAAAGAAACAGAGGAGTCATGAGTCTGGGACAGAATGGGGTGCTGGGAAGAGTGAAAGGAGGGGAGCCTGAAGTCAGGGTATCTTATATAAGATAATAATGAATGAAATAAATAAATAAGAGCACTTGAACTCAGAGGACTTGAGTTCAGTTACTAACATATACATCTTGGCTCATACCATAAGTAGCTCCAGTTTTTGAGACTCTAATGCCCTGTTCTGGCATCTGTTGGGCACAAGATATGCAAGTGGTGCACAAACATGAATGCAGACAAAACATACATACACATAAAATGAAATTTTAAAGTTTAAAATTATAAAATGAATAGTGGGTGGTTTACAGAAGGCTAGGGATAAGAGAAGCTATTCTCTAGAATGGCAACCTATGATCATCCAGCAATAAGTGTTAATAGTGGCAACTATTTAGTATGGCACTTTCATAGCTTTCTGTCTCAGAACATGTTAACTGCTAACTCTTCTATATAATCAGATTAGTAAATAAGAGATAGGCACTAGTAAAAGTAATTCATAGAGTATATAATAAGAAAAGTGAAGATCAGAAAAATATGGTAGTTGTTCAGGAATTATTAGCAATAATTTGGCAGAGAAAAAACTAAGTATTTTTTAAATGTCTACTTTATTCAATTCATCTTACTGAGTGTCTGTTTTAGGCATTGTATTCTGGCAAGAGCTACAGAGTTTAATATGATAAGATCGTCCTCCCCACCTCCAAGGGTTCATAGTACATTGGACAACACAAACAAATATTATAATAATTATAATCCATTGTGTTAAGTGATAAAACATTCTTATGGAGTGGGTGTTTATCAATGTGCTAGAGGCTGGAAATAAATCTCAGTGGTGGTAGCAAATGTTTGGGAGAGAGAGAGAGAGAGAGAGAGAGAGAGAGAGAGAGAGAGAGAGAGAGAGAAACAGAGAGAGAGAAACAGAGAGAGAGAGAGAAACAGAGAGAGAGGGGAGGGAGAGGGAAAGGGAGAGGGAGAGGGAGAGGGAGAGAGAGAGAGAAAGTGCTATATGGATGATCAAAAAAGGCGAGTTATTGTACCTAGAAACATGAGATACATATGAGAGCTCAGAGGATGCAGCAACTACTATGGAACCATAAAGAATGTGTTGAATATTTTAGAGCTAGAGGGTGAAACACATTTCAAGGAGAGCACATATATTGTGAGAACTAGCATGCAGAAAATTCAGAGACTGCTCAAGGAATGAGAAAATGTTCACTGTAGCTACAACAGAGAGTGTCCCAAAGCTGGATACAACATAGTGAGTGATGCTCCATAGTTCTGGGGAATCATGATGGCAGAACTTCAGAAGAATTTAATGGCTACAGAGCCTCTGTAGGGCTCATAGGACAAGATGCTTACTATGTTTTGGTGCAGCACATTCTTTTCATAGTACATACTTTTTTTCTTCTTACCCAGCACATAAGAACGCCATAATATTTACCACAAAGTTTTATAGAAAGAAGTTATTCATTGGATGTTGTGAAAGTTAACATCATTTTATCTTTATCTCTATGATATTGTAAGTGATAATCATTCCTCCCTCTTCTCCTTACCTATTCCTTACCCTACCTTGTTCCCTCCTCTCTCTCTCTCTCTCTCTCTCTCTCTCTCTCTCTCTCTCTCTCTCTCTCTCTCTCT